CCATTGTGATACCTATTCAATTAGTAGTGTGGTAAAAGGAGTGCAGGCTTTGGCCCCGAGGACCCAGGCTCAAAGCCCNGGATACTGCAGAGATTCGCTGTGGTCCTACTTGCCACACTCCTAGCCTAACTCACAGAGGATAACCACCATTGTGACACCTATTCAACCACTGTGGTGTGGTAAAAGGAGTGCAGGCTCTGGCCCCGAGGACCCAGGCTCAAAGCCCACTCCACCACTTATTAGCTATGTGACAAATAGTGCCAATTAACCTGCTTGAGCATCAGTCTTCACATCTGTAAAATGGGGCCCATAATTCCAACCCAAATGCGGTTTTAAGGAGTAGAGAACAAGTGTATAACAGATACAGTTGTTCACAGAAGCAGGCAGGGCAAGTGAGTGACATGGTTTGAGTGTGAGAAACTGGAGAACGTCTAAGCAGGCAACCATGACCCCGTGCCAGCCAGCTGTTACCTTTCATGGATCCAGGAATGTGAGTCAGTTGTGGGGTATATCTGAATTGTCTGTAAGAGAAGGGAGAAATTTCAATGTTTATAGGAAATGGATCCGTTTTTAAATGCTGGCAAACAATTAGAAGTTATGCAATCAAGCAACGTTATGTAGGTCACCGTGATAGGTCGCATTCCAAGGTGTTTTCTCACTCCTTCTGCTGCGCGACTTTGCCAGAGTGTATTTCTCGCCTCACTGACATTGGGCTTGTCCCTGTGACCTGCTCTGGCCAACGCATGCAACATAAGCAGGTGCACGGGTGTGACTTGACCTATCATCTTTCACTCCTCCCAGGATCTGCCAAGAGGAGAGCATGCCCTGCAGAGCCACTGCCCCAGAAAGACCTGAAGGGCAGACCTGAAGCACAGTTGCCCCAGGCGACCCAGAGTCCCATGGGAAAAATAAAATGTTCATTGTCATAGGTGACTGGGATTTAGAGTGTCACAAAGCAAAACCCAACTCATGTGCCGCCCTTGGGTTCCCAGTTTGAGATCACCCAGGTAAAGCACCTAGCACGTGAGAGATACATAGTGTGTACTTAATAAACGGCTGCCCTGAGGATTATTCTGGGCCTGGCACATCTCCTGGGGTTTCTATAATAGAAATTAGGCTTAGGCCAGTGCCTTGTAAGATGTTTGTTTTGTGCTGACTTCTGAGAAACTTGAAGACATCCATCTCTACATCCATCACGAGCATTATTTACCTGCAGGGAGAAATGTCACCCTGCGTTGTGCCATAGCATCGCGGACTGTTTGAAATGTAACCGGACAATGGGTGCTAAACAGTGTGGTTTTGTGATTTCTCATTTGGGCGTTTCTCACTACATCTATTCCACCAACATGCACGACATGCATCTGGAAGAGGCAGTGGGAATGATTAGATTGTTCAGGCCGAGGAAAATCTGTTGGGACAGCGAGGGGGTTCAACCTTAACCTGTAAGGAATGTGCTAAAGTGGAAGCAAGCACCGAGTGCTCTTGGGCCCCAGGGAACAGACTCTGACCAGAGCTGCGGAGGCACCTCAGGGGACGTGAGAATCAAGCGGGGACTTTAGATGAACAGCTTTGGTTCTGTAAGAAGGTGGGGTCGGCATTCCAAGAGGGGAAGCTCATGTAAAGACACATGTGACATGAACACTGGGTGTGTTCAGAAAATTGGGAGGAGTCTAGGTAGATGGTGAATCGGGTGCAAGGGGCTAAAGATGCAACTGCAGGTGAGTGAGGTCCAGTTGTGGACTTTGTTGGATTCTGTAGCTGTTTATTTCCAAAGACATCCGCCATCAATGCCTCCCCTCCGTAGGCACATGCCACCTGAACATCGAGGAGGAACTGATCAAAGAAAACCTAAAACAGTGAGGTCGGGTTGGGGATAACCTGGAAGCTCTCTTTGTAGTGGGGAAGCAGTGAGTAGCTGTTTCCCTGTAATTTCTCTGGCTCTGTTGCTATTATACTATACCTTTTCCTTAAAATGCTAATATTCTAAGGGGGCACTGTGATGTTCTAGAAAGAAGCCAGGCTTTGTTGTCAAGGGAAATCCAAATTAAAATCCAAACTGTGTCACCCACGAGGTATGAGATGGGGCAAGTCACTTAATGGGGTAGACTGTGTCCTGCCCAGATGCCCTCTCTGAGATCAGCACTCCCATGTGAAGATGCTATGACTGTTGCCTTCTAGCTGGTCTCTCTGCAGAAATGCCCTTAGCTGACGGGATCCACACTGCTCTGAAGGTACAATCCCCCGCACGCCCCAGCTTGGCCCAGCCAGGGACTGACTGGTACAGGTTCACAAAGCCTGGTGGCCAGCTCAGGAGGCGACACCTTTGCAGTGAGGCCTATGCTCAGGCCCAGGCCCAGGCCCAGGCCGTAGCTCCCTGAGTCCACAGCTCTCCTAGGCTCTTTCCTCCTTTTATTCTGCTCCCTTCACTCCCTTAGAGATATTTCCCCCCTGAACACTCTCTCAGTAAACCTTGTATCCCGGAATCCTGCTCTCAGGCTCTGCTGCGGGAAGTCGCAGCCTAAGACAGGTGTCCTCCCTTCACTTTATTTTCAAACCTTGTCCCTCCCGCCACCTTTCCAGAATTGGCCAAGATGGTAAATTCAAACTGCCAGGCACTCAATGCACACTCCACACGTGCTAACAGGTTCCCTCTCATCTTCCTCATTGGCACGAAGTGGGAAAAATATGAGGAAAGCTCTTTAAACCAGTAAGTCCAGTAAATTTTCCATACTGTCTGTAGAGCAAATCTTTTAGAAAAATAGGCAAGCGAGGCATTGATTTTGAAAAATGGGGATATTCGTGCCTACTTAGTGGAATGGTGAGGATTGGCTGAAATAGTTGTTTGCTTCAGGGTAAGTGCTCAGCGCGTGGAACCTGCTGCCCTTCCACTCAGCTGCCTCCAGGACAGTCCCTCCTGCCTCACCGTTGTGTCCTCAGGCAGCACAGGGCCCCACCCCACACGGGGGACACACGCCTGCTCCTGCGCAAGCAAACTGCAGTGGGCAGGCAAAGAAACCAGACTGGGTCCAAGGCGGCACGGGTTTTCTAATCCCACTGCGTGCGGAGCCTGGGCGGTGAATCCCAGTTTAGCACTTCTCATGATCGTGGGCAGATTTCTCTGCCTGTGCTCAGAAACAGCCCGACTCATGGCTTTGGTCATTAACACAGTTTATTATTGGCACACTTATCAGTAAAGCATACGTAAAATACAGCTGTTCGATAACACACGGAGCCACTGTGTCTTTACATGTGTAGAGGAACATATTAATATGCAAATGGAAAAATTAGTTCTCTTATAAAGTTTCACATAAATACACTGGCATTGCCCCCAAAGGAAAAAAAGAAATCCCCATAAAAGAACCAGGCGAGGGCTTTACAAAATATTATACAAGAAATATATGCTGAAAAGAAACAACAGTCAACTCAGATACAATAAAAAAACACAAAGGGGTTTCAGATTTATTAAACTGCCCACAAAAGTAATGGATTACATGGCTTGGAAAATATTCGGATCAACAGCAATTTTACATATGCATAAATTCCTCAAGGGGGCCGAGTGTCTTTCTTACATAAAAAAAAAAAAACCCTGCCTGGGTGTCTTTGATGATAAAAAGACATTTCTTGTTTCAGCGCTCGGGCTCGACTGAACCAACTCGGGCTGGAGAACCGATTGACACCAGCTTGCCCATCCGTCATCCTGCTGGGCCCTCTTGGCTGTTACCCAATGAAAGAAAAGGTGAAGCAGGAAGGGAAAAAAAAGGTACATTTAAATTACTTTCCAAAAAGCTGATTTTTTTTTCCCTTTTCTTTTTTTTACTGAAACAAGAAACTCTCAGATGCAAGTNAAAAAAAAAAAAAAAAGCAGAAAGTATGTTACAATGTTACAAAGTCCTCCGCCGCCGGGCTGGGCGCGTGGTGGGGTCCTGAGCGCGGAGGGGGGACAGCGAGGGGCGCGTGGTCGATGCGGGGCCGGGAGAGGCGCGCGCTCGCTCTCGCTGCGGCCAGTGCAGGTGTCCGCGGGGCCTGTGCGGGCCTCCAGGGAGGGGGTCGCGGGGGCTTATCTGGAATGATCCTCTCCATCCAAAAAATAAAAATAAAAAAAATAAAAAAAAAAAAAAAAAAAAAAAAAAAAAAA